CGAGCTTCAGATCCAGATCAGTTCGGTCAGGACTCGGATGCAAAGGAAGACTCGATCCACGACGCTATAGAGCACAACCGCGGCATGGCACATCGCAATTCAGCACGGCGCAGCACAGCACAGCCCTCGGCACGGTACATCAAGATCGATACAATCAGCATTGCACTTGCCCGTCACCCAATCAGGTGTCTTTGAAAACGTTGCCATGCGTTACATTTCTATGTTCCTTTCCGGGTTCGTAGGTCGATCATGTTATTTTTCCCGGATTGCCTTGGATGTTGCCAGGATGTCTCGAGCGACACGCTTGTTTTTCATAATTCGTTGAGGATGTCTCCAGCGAAACGCTGGTTTTGCAAAGTTGGGGGATGTCTCGAGCGGGGGCCTCGTGGGGGGCCAGAATTCAGAGGATGCCTCAAGCGAAATGGTTGTTTTCACGTCCCGCGCGCAGGAATTCCGAGAATGTCTCGCGCGTGCAACGTCCCGCGCGCAGGAATTTCGAGGATGTCTCGACTAATTCGCTTGTTGTTCCAGGAATTCCGTGGATTTTGGTAGGATGTCTCGAGCGAAACGCTTGTCCCCAGCACGTTCCGTAGCGCGTTCCCTTGGCACGTCCCGCGGTGCGACCCCATGGCACGTCCCCTGGCACGTCGCTTGGCGCGTCCCTTGAGACGTTCCGTGGCGCGTCCTCCTGGCATGTCCCCTTGGCAATTAGCTCTGGGGCAGCTACTATGTGTTCAGGCAGCTCGAGCTTAAGGTCCAGATCAGTTCGGTCAGGACTCGGATGCAAAGGAGGACTCGATCCACGACGCTATAGAGCACAATCGCGGCATGGCACATCACAATTCAGCACGGTGCAGCACAGCACAGATTTCGGCACGGTACATCAAGATCGATACATTCAGCATTGCAACTTGGCACGTTCCTTGGCACGTTCCGTGGGGCGTCCCTTGGCGAGTCCCCCTGGCACGTCGCGTGGCGCGTCCCCTGGCACATCCCGTGGCACGTCCATTGGCACGTTCCGTAGCGCGTCCCCTTGGCACGTCCCGCGGTGTGACCCTATGGCACGTCCCCTGGCACGTCGCCTGGCGCGTCCCTTGAGACGTTCCGTGGCGCGTCCTCCTGGCATGTTCCCCTTGTAAATTAGCTCTGGGGTAGCTACTATGTGTTCAGACAGCTCGAGCTTAAGGTCCAGATCAGTTCGGTCAGGACTCGGATGCAAAGGAGGACTCGATCCACGACGCTATAGAGCACAATCGCGGCATGGCACATCGCAGTTCAGCATGGTGCAGCACAGCACAGCCCTCGGCACGGTACATCAAGATCCATACACTCAGCATTTCATTTGCCCGTCACCCAATCAGATATGTTTGAAAACGCTGCCATGCGTTACAGCTCTATAATATTCCTTTCCGGGTTCGTGGGTCGATCATGTTTTCACTGTTTGAGGAGGTGTCGAGCGGCGGCCTTGTCGTCGTCTCGGTGCTTCTCGTTTCGGTTCGGACTTGCCCCTTGATCGGCTCGTCCCACTTCGGAACTGAATCGGATCTTGAGTTCGAGTTGGTCGAAGGCCCCGCATCTTCCCTGAAAGGGCTCGGGCCCAGGGTTCTCTTTTAGCTGTTTACCCCGGAATCGACGGCTGTAGGGCTGGCGAAATTATTTTGCGATAATTAAGGAGGTCGCGTAGAGCCGGCGAGTTCGAATTTTGAGGATGTCCCTAGCGAAACGCTTGTTTTTCAGAGTTTGTTGAGGATGTCTCGAGCGAAACGCGTGTTTTGTGTTATAGATTGTCCTCTCCTGGGGACCAGAATTCAGAGGATCTCTCAAGTGAAATGCTTGTTTTCATTTGCCCAGGTCTTGAGGATGTCTCGAGCGAGACGCTTGGTTTCACGCCTTCAGGTTGCCCAGGCAGAGGTCTAGCGCCAGGATTTGTTGAGGATGTCTCGAGCGAGACGCTTGGTTTCACGCGTCCTCGTGGCCCAGGCGGATGTGTAGCATGAGGATGTGTTGAGGAAGTGTCGATCGAGATGCTTGTTTGCAAGTGTCCAGAGGCCCAGGCGGATGCCTAGCATGAGGAGGTGTTGAGAATGTCTCGAGCGATACGCTTGTTTTCGCGTGTCCAGGTCGCCCAGGCGGATGTCTAACATGAAGATGTGTTGAGGATGTCTCGAGCGAGACGTTTGCTTTCATGTGTACAGGTCGCCCAGGTGGATGTCTAGAATGTGGAGGTGTTGAAAACGTCTCGAGCGAAACGCTTGTTTTCACGTGCCCAGGTCACCTAGGCGGACGTCTCACATGAAGATGTGTTGAGGATGTCTCGGGCAAACCACTTGTGTGCACGTGTCCAGTTCGCTCAGGCGGATGTCTAGCATGAGAATGTGTTGAGGATGTGTTCAGCGAAACGCTTGTTTTCACGTGTCCAGGTCGCGCAGGCGGATGTCTAGCATGAGGATTTTGACAGGATGTCTCGAGCGAGACGCTTGTCCCCAGCACGTTATGTGTTGAGGATGTGTTGAGCAAAATGCTTGTTTTCACGTGTCCAGGTCGCTCTGGCGGATGTCTAGCATGAGGATGTTGACAGGATGTCTCGAGCGAAACGCTTGCCCCCAGCACGTTCCGTAGCGCGTCCCCATGGCACGTCCCCTGGCACGTCGCTTGGCGCGTCCCTTGAGACGTTCCGCGGCGCGTCCTCCTGGCATGTTCCCCCTGTCAATTAGCTCTGGGGCAGCTACTATGTGTTCAGGCAGCTCGAGCTTCAGATCCAGATCAGTTCGGTCAGGACTCGGATACAAGGGGGGACTCGATCCACAACGCTATAGAGCACAATCGCGGCATGGCACATCGCAATTCAGCACGGTGCAGCACAGCACAGCCCTCGGCACGGTACATCAAGATCGATACACTCAGCATTGCAACCTGGCACGTTTCTTGGCACGTTCCGTGGGGCGTCCCTTGGCGAGTCCCCCTGGCACGTCGCGTGGCGCGTCCCCTGGCACATCCCGTGGCACATCCATTGATACGTTCCGTAGCGCGTCCCCTTGGCACGTCCCGCGGTGCAACCCCATGGCACGTCCCCTGGCACTTCGCTTGGCGCGTCCTTTGAGACGTTCCGCGGCGCGTCCTCCTGGCATGTCCCCCTGTCAATTAGCTCTGGGGCAGCTACTATGTGTTCAAGCAGCTCGAGCTTCAGATCCAGATCAGTTCGGTCAGGACTCGGATACAAGGGGGGACTCGATCCACGACGCTATAGAGCACAATCGCGACATGGCACATCGCAATTCATCACGGTGCAGCACAGCACAGGTTTCGGCACGGTACATCAAGATCGATACACTCAGCATTGCAACCTGGCACCTGGCACGTTCCTTGGCACGTTCCGTGGGGCGTCCCTTGGCGAGTCCCCCTGGCACGTCGCGTGGCGCGTCCCCTGGCACATCCCGTGGCACATCCATTGGCACGTTCCGTAGCGCGTCCCCTTGGCACGTCCCGCGGTGCAACCCCATGGCACGTCCCCTGGCACGTCGCCTGGCGCGTCCCTTGAGACGTTCCGCGACGCGTCCTCCTGGCATGTCCCCCTGTCAATTAGCTCTGGGGCAGATACTATGTTATGTGTGCAGGCAGCTCGAGCTTCAGATCCAGATCAGTTCGGTCAGGACTCGGATACAAAGGAGGACTCGATCCACAACGCTATAGAGCACAATCGCGACATGGCACATCGCAGTTCAGCACGGTGCAGCACAGCACAGCCCTCGGCAGGGCACATCAAGATCGATACACTCAGCATTGCACTTGCCCGTCACCCAATCCGGTGTCTTTGAAAACGTTGCCATGCGTTCCATGTCTATATTCCTTTCCGGGTTCGTGGGTCGATACTGTTTTTCCCCCCGCTTGTCGTGGTCGCGCTCGGTTTGCTCTGTTGCGGAATTGAATGTCTCGGGCAATGGCTTCGGAAGTGGATCGCATCTTGAGCTCGAGCTGGTCGAGCTCCCGCGCGTTTCGATTAGAACTAGCCCGAGCTTTGCGTTCATGCAGTTCGGGCTTAAGATCCAAATCAGTTCGGCCACGATTCTGACGCCAAGCGCGGCTTGATCCACAATGCAGAAGGGCGCGGCACTGTTCAGCACGGCGTGACACGTTGCACTCAGCACAGCACGGCGCAGTACAGCACATCCCGTGGCACGGTACATCACGACCTTTGCTCCTCTGAGCATTGTAGCTGCCCGTCGCCCACGTTCGACGCCTTTGAAACGATGCCACGGCTCACGTTTCTGCGCCCCTTCCCGGGTCCGTGGGCCGATCGTGCCGGTGGCTCTGGGGCCCGACACGGCCTTCGGAGGCCGACGGGGAAGGAGCAGCGCCTGGACTGCAGAAGATCCACCCCTTGGACGTCTCACCACCCACCAAACCACCCCACCGCATTGTCGCTTCGTGTTCACTCTCTTGGGCCCCTCTTGGGGGCGTCTTGGGGCTTTCTCGGGCATTCTTGGGCGTCTCGAAGTCCGTCTTGGAGCCCTCTTGGGCCGTCTTGGGCCGTTTTGGAGCGTGGGAAGCTCGAAAAGGCGAGAAACCCAACCCGAAGGCTTCAATTTGCCCTCCATTTCCAGTGGGGGGGGGTCGGGGAACAGTGAAACAACACATGGAATCCGCACCCCCCCAACCCGAAATTCGGGTCAAGCTCGGGTCTTCCGGTTGGGTTGGGGTGGTCTGGTAGGTAGTCAACGTCTATGACCATCGCGGCCTGCCCCGCCCCCGAGCGGGGCGGAGACTACGACGAGAAAGCTTACTTCAATATCAGGTGCAAGCTGGAGGAATGCATTTTCTCGGTGTTAGAGCAAGTTGGTTCCACCAGGTCCTGTGATAGTAAAACTACAGCTGCAGACGCAAGAGTTCGACAGCCTGGCGCCCCGAGCGGGGCGGCCCGATCGCCGGGCAAGCCCCGCCGGGCGGCCGTCGGCCGAGCGGGCCCCGGGCGGCGCGGTGCGGTGGGCCGCGCGCGCGCCAAGATGCTGAAGGCGGACCACCAGGGCCAGGACAGCCAGGACCGCAGCGGCCGCCGTCGCCGTCGGCCTCGCTCCCAGCCTCGGTCTCCTCGTCTGCTCTGCGTTCCCTCCTCCTCCTCCTCCTCCTCCTCCTCCTCCTCGCTGTCGCCTCCCTCCCACACCTGGTTCCTGATTCCTGATGGCTGACCGCAGCCCTCCCTCCTACACCTCCTCCCTCGCCTCAGGGGAGGACGGGCAGGAATGGAAGATGCCGGAGCAGGAGGAGGATAGAGGAGGGAAGCGGAGGGATGAGGATGGAGGAGGACCGTCCTGCCTCAAGAAAACGATTTCTACGACTACGATCACGACGGTGGCGATGGCGTCGGCGGCGAGGGTCACGGCTGTGGTTCCATCTCCCCCTCGCCGAAGCTGGTGCAGGAGGCCACCGGCTTGCTCACCCTCAAGAAAGGCGACATGGTCGAGGCGACCCCTCCTCGTCGTTGTCGTCTTCGTCGTCGTCGCCGTCGTCGCCGTCGTCGACGTCGTCGTCGACGTCGTCGACGTCGACGACATCCTTTTCGTTGTCCTCCCACCAGGGGCCGTGCCGGGAGGAGCCTCGCCTGTGGAAGAAAGCCTCGCCCTCGGCGGAAGGCCTCTGCGGGGGCCGGCGGAGGCAGAGGCGGCAGCGGTCCACCCGCGGAGGGCCTGCGGGAGGATACACGGCTACGGTGGTGGCGCTCGTGAAGGAGAGTGCTAGGAGGGGTTCGCTAAGGATGCGGATACGGTGGTGGCGTTCGGAAGGATACGGATACGGTGGTGGCGCTCGTGAAGGAGAGTGCTAGGAGGGGTTCGTTAAGGATGCGGATACGGTGGTGGCGTTCGGAAGGATACGGATACGGTGGAGGCGTTCGTTAAGGATACGGATGCGGGGGTGGCGTTCGTTAAGGATAGTGCTAGGAGGGGTTCGTTAAGGATGCGGATGCGGTGGTGGCGTTCGGAAGGATACGGATACGGTGGAGGCGTTCGTTAAGGATGCGGATGCGGGGGTGGCGTTCGTGAAGGAGGCCTCAGGCCCCAGGGGATTCCTTCTCAGAGGCGGGCGGCCGTCATATCACGGCCAGCCCACGAGTGCAGTTCCACCGGCCTCCAGACCCTGGATTCGGAAGTCGCCGTCTCTCGCCATGGGGGGGGAACGGGTCCCGAGGGCCTTCGCCGTCCTCGGGCTCTCGGGACCCTCCACGGCCCCAGGACCCGTCAGGGAGCGGCCGAGGAGGAAGCAGCGGTCCCGGGGGCAGGCCCCGGGGCCCAAGACCCGTTTCCTTCAGGACCCGCTCCCCCCCGTGCTGACCCGCGGGTAGTGGGCCACCGTGCGAACCCCACCCTCCCCCTCAGAAGCTCCCGAGCGAAGTGAACCCCACCCTCCCCCTCAGAACTCGTGGGGGGCAGGGGTGGGGTTCGCACGGTGGCCCCCTAGCGGGGCCGGGGGCGCGAAGGTAACCGCGCCTCGCGGTTCGCGGGAGCCCCGGAGGGGCGGCCTCGGGGCGCGAGGGCGTCGCGATGGGCGGCTCCGTGCGGCGCGGTGCGGCGGGGCTGGGCGGCATGCGGCGGTCGCGCGCCGAGGCGGCACGGTGGCGGCCCCGGCGGCGAGCGTCAGTCTGCGGTGTCCCAGGAGTCGGATCGAGGCTCGCGGATGGATATTTGGGGGGAGCTTTTTTGGGGCTTCCTGGGGCGCGTCCGAGGCCGCGGCTGGATTCGCCTCGAACGGTGTCCAGGAGTCGAATCGAGGCTCGCGGATGGATATTCTGGCTTGATTTAGGGCGGATTTAGGTTGAGTCGGTTGAGTGTTTTTAGGTTTTTGATGCCGACGACGATTGCAATGATGGTGGTTATCAAATCGTAGTGCTGATGGTGGTGGCGATGGTGATGGTGATGATGGTGGTGCTCATCACATCCAGAATCACCATCATCACCATCACCATCATCACCATCACAACCGCACTCACCATACCATCATCACCATCCCCATCCCCATCATCATCATCATCATCATCATCATCATCATCACCATCCATACCATCAGCATCGCCATCACCATCACCATCGTCACCATTGTGGTCCGTAGGACTTGGCTCAAAATAATAATGTCGTCGTCCGCTGGGGCGGTTTCCCCGAGCCCTCCAGCCTCGTCGTCCCCTCCTTTTTCGAGGGCAGCTTCGCCGAGCCATGCTTCTTCTTCGAGGGCAGCTACGCCGAGCCCTGCTTCTTCTTCAAGGGCAGCTTCGCCGAGCCCTGCTTCTTCTTCGAGGGCAGCAGCTTCGCCGAGCCCGAGCCCGAGCCCTGCGGCCGCGTCGAGGGCAGCTTCGCCAAGCCGTGGCAGCTGCAACAGCTCGGACGCCGATGCTGACGTAGGGTCCGACGCCGACGGCGCCGACGGCGCCGACGGAGTTGCCGACGTAGCGGGCTCCGAAGAGGACAGCGGCTCCAACAGCGGCTCCGACAGCGGCTCCGAAGAGGACAGCGGCTCCAGCAGCGAGGCAGCCGCGGCTGCAAGAGCGAAGGCGAAGGCCGCCCCGAGCAAAGTAGTCGAGAAGTTCCCGCCTTCGTTGTCCATGACCCTGAAGGAGCACGTCGCCAGCCGCGACTACCCAAAGCACGTCTCCACCTGCGGCGCTTGCAAATTTTGGAAGAACGAGGAGAACTGGAGCGCCTCGATGTCTGCGACGAATCCAGTAACACTGAAGAGTGAAACTTGGATAGGCTGCGTTGGTGGTAGATTTGCAGTCTGCTTGTTCTGCTCGGCGTTCAAGGGCGCTCGCTGCATTTCCACCATAGGCCAGGGATCCGCGAGTTCCCAACGCAAGGGGAACCTCGTGCGCCACGCACAGCGCGAGGAGCGCCAGGCAGCAGAAGCGGCGTGGAAAGAGCGGATTCGAGCGGAAGGCGCGCACCATGGTCTCCCCGTGTATGTGTTCTCCACAACGGCTGCATCAGCTACAGCAGCTGCAACAGCCGTGGCGCCTGCGCCCGTCGTCGTCCGCAACGCCGACCAGCGCCCTGGCTGCCGCGCAGTGGTCGCCACCCGTGCAATGTTGGAGACAACCAGTTCCTTCAGTAGTTTCGACGTGTGGCGGGATGCGTTCGTTGGGGGCGACCGCCAAGTTTTGGAGTCTAGTCGGCAGCGCCGAAGGCTGGTGACCACCATGGCTCAGCACGAGAAGATCATCACGCAGAGGATCCTCAGACATGGTGCTGTTTTTTCGCATGGCTGCGGACGGCCTCGGCCGCACGTACCAGGTCGAAATTGGCGCCGTGCTGTGGTCGACCCCGAAGGCTTTGGACTTCCTCCCAAGCTACGGTCTCAAGGCAGGCAGGCTGGAACAGCTGGGCCCCAGAGGGCCCTGGATCGTGGATCGGGTGATCGGGATGCGGGAGTTCCCGCGGGGCATGGACTGCGACGGCAAGGCTTCCATGCTGGAGGAGTGCGTCCGTCGCGCGTGCCAGACGGCAGGCGGGGAGGTGGACGGGGACTTGCACAAGCATGTGCGACAGGAGACTCGGGCATGGTGCAGCGATGGGGCGGATCTAAGTGTACCCCTGGCTGCAACAACTACGTTCCGTGGGCTGGCGATTCACGCGTGGGGCGAGTCTCACTCGCCCCAGAAGGTTCTGGCCAATTCGATGAAAGGAGACAACGAAATAACGGCCACGGACGAGCTGCTGGCAACGGGTAAGAAGCCGCCAAGTCTGGCCAAGTTCCTGACTACCTCCACCGCCTTCCGCAACGCACTCGGGGAGCAGCAGCTGGTGGAAGACGGCGCTGCGTTCGCCAAAAACTTCGGCTGGGCCCCCCAGCGTTTCAACAGTCGGGCGAGGCCCTGCACGGGAAAGTCGGCGTTGGGAAGTCATTTTCGAGGCGCTCGGAGCGGAGTCCCAGGGGAATGACAAAGATCGGCGCGTTCTCGCCCGACATATTCTGGAAGGGCTCGGGGGCGAGAACAGTTCGCGCCTGCTCCTGGGGGGGTTGCTGGCCGACTTGAGCGCGGAGCACTACTCCTGGGTCGCCACCGGAGACAAGAGCAACCCCGACGCTGCCAGCGTTCAATCCAGGGCCGCCGCTTTCCTCTCCAAGCTGGATACATTGTTCGTCCAGGGGAATATTCTGGCCATCCCCGACACGTTTACTGGCGTCACCCTCAAGTTTCTGAAGGCCACGAAGCGGTTCGTGTGCGGCACTGGCGTCCAGACCGTTGGTATCGGCGATTGGAGCACGGAGCCCCGAGCCCGCGAAGCCGTCCACGCGGCTCTTCGACGAGCGCAGGGGATCGTGGCCAATGTGAAGGAGAACATGAAGCTATATCGGCCAGAGCATTCTTGGTTGCACGCCTTTACAGCCTTTCGCTTGCCTTCCCCCCTGTCCCTGTCTGCAACAGCAGAGCATGCGACAGAAGCCGAGGCCTGTTTGAAGCGCATCTGCCGGGCGGCAGACCTCCCCGAGCAGGAGGCAATCTCCCAGCTGCGGCAAACGTTGCCCCGTGCCGAGGCGCATCATCATCGAAACGGGGGCACCGCGCGGCAGGCTTGGGGCCGCGCTGCGGTGGAATGGCCCGAGCTCCCCAGCGGCCGTCGCCTCGTGGAGCTCTTCCTTGTATGGAAAACGAGCACGGGCAACTTGGAGAGGCGATTCCGCTGTTTCTCGAAGGTGTATTGCCCTCAGAGGGCGCGGCTCCTCGACGCGTCCGTCGAGGAGTGCGCGCTCGTGGACCAGGCGCCCTCCAGCAGGTTGCTGCGCACGTGGCTGGGCGGCAACGACGAGAGCAGCTCTGCCGCCAGTCGTTGGTACAGGCATGCGCTCAAGCTACATGAGGTCGCGCAGGGGAAGATCGTGCCGCTGAGGAGGGCCGAGAGGCGCGACAAGGGAAGCACGCGGGAGCCTGGGGCAGCACGTCGGACAGAGGTAGGCTTCGGGCGCAGGCGAGCAGCTGCCGTCGACGCCATGGCGGCCGCTTCCCCGAGCAAGCGCGCCCGCCTTCTCGCGGAGGGCGCCCCCCGATCTCGCTGCGCTGGCTCAGGAGGCGGCCCAGGCGAGCGGCGCAGATCCAGTCGGGCCCGCTGCAAAAGTCGTCGCCGCCGTCGCCAAGCGGGAGGCCAATATCCGAGAGCGCAATCTTGGAGGGGCGAAGGCCGCCGCCAAGGCCAGGAGTACCCGAGAGAAGAAAGTCCTGCGCAGTAGTGCCAGGCCAGCTGCGGGCCGCGACGCTTACTTGCTGCCCCCCCCGCGCCCCGCTGGGCTCATGCTGGCTCGCGTGGTAGATGGGGGCGCTCGCAACAAGGCGCAGCGCTTGCGTTTCAAGGTGTTTCAGGACCCCGTGGAGTTCCTGGACTATCTTGCCAGTCATACGGCCCAGGGGAAGAAGAAGGGGAACGTAGTCTTGGCGCCAACAGCTGACACCGACTATTGCATCGCCGCCAAGATCGTAGCAGCG